ACACACACACACACACATACCAAATCTAGTTATTTTTCTATACTTTTTTTGTTTAACAAATTCATAAAAAGTAATTTTATCTTTTTTAGGTCTGTGAAGTGTCAGACCTCAAGATGGACAACAAGTGTTTAATTAGATACAGCATCTAGTCTACCACTGAAATCATAAACCTATACAACATTTATTGAAATTTGTTGGTAAGAATGTGATGTTTTTCCTACAAACTCACTGGTCTACATTCCTTTTTAAAAGTGCAAGCTTACAGTTTATTTTTTAGATATTGACTATATCTTTGTTCTATCAAGTAACTTTGATAGTTTCTTTTCCCTGTAGCTAATTGATACATTAAAAAACAATGATAAAATCCTCCTCAGAGGTTACTTAAATGGTTCATGACTATATTAGTTAATTAGGTATCAGTGAAAGAGAATACACTGTTTGTTCTGCAGTTGGGTAGATTCTTTTAATGAAAGATCAACATAAGTATTTTATTATCATACATATTTTGGATGACCCTTTAAAAATCATATAAGGCAAAGAGAAACTAAAAGGTTTTTTTTCCCCGTATGTGATTTTTAAAGTATGCCAATATTAGTTACATGCGATAAAGTTTATACATGCATCAGGAAATGTACTTCTCTTTTGGGAAATTTACTTTGCATAGTTTAGAACCCCAATTTCTGGAAGTGGTTAGAACAGATTCATATATGTATAGCATTTTCAACTCTGATTTTGTTAAGATTATGGAGGTATAAGGTTTTTTCCCTATATAAAGAATTGTTTTGCTTCCAAATTCTTGGCCGCAGATTATGGAACTGAATTAAAATTTCTTTACAATTAATAATGGTTAATATTTACTAAGGAAGTATAAACATTTCCATCCCTTTATCAATAAAGATTCCTGGAAATAGATAAATCCATTTATTTCAGTTATCTACTGAATTTTCAGTTATCTGAAATCTGACAATGCTAGCCTTAGATGAAATATTAAATACAATGTTTTTGAAACATTATTTTAAAAATAATATAAATTTCATAAGAGCTTAATAAAGGAAATTTAACCTATTCAGGTTTAGAATCATAGACTCTTAATATTGAAAACATGACTCTTTGTAACTGCCACCATTTTCCAAGTGCCCCGCTACAGCTCATTCCCACCTACATGTGATAACGCTTTAAACATGACATCTATTATTTTCAACCAGAAGACAACTGAATCCCCACTCCTTAAATATCCTTTTAGTTTCTTTAATGGCTTTATGATTTAAACCCTTCACTGTCCTGGCTTCTTTCTTCTGGTTATTCTTCAGTTTAATAGGGCCGTCTCAAAACGTGACTCCCAGAATGATAAATCATATGCCATATATGGTCTGAAATATACCAAAGGTTGGTTAACTTTTTGTCCTAGCCAATAAAATGTTTGTATTTGGGGTACAATTTTAGATAATAAAAAGGACTGTAAATAGAAATAGATCATATTCTTGGCCTTTTATCAAAAGAAAATTGAAGAGTTTAAATAAAGTAAACTATACAACAGAGAGAAAGAACCAGGAATCTATTAACAATTCATTTCTTACTTATTTTTAGTAAACAAAAATCAAAACCCTCTGGTCTCTAGATGATATGACTGAGGATATATAACCAGTTTTCTATGACACTTGAGAACTATATTTCTATACTTAAAATGTGGAAAAATCTTTCTTGTAGAATGAATCTATAGGGAAATAAAAAGAGTAAAATATAGCACATGTAAAATATAGCACATTCTCCTTTGGCAAAGAAATGCTTACATGTTAGAAACAAATTAACTTTTTAAGGCAGCTCCGAAGAAGTAATTTATTTTAAATAGGTGAACAGTTTACAGCTCTTGTGGGAACACTTTTTCCTTATTTTTCTTCATCATAGAATCAGGCCCTATGTTTTTAATTTAAGTCCTTTAATTTTTGCTGTTAACATTTAATTTACTTGATGACCCCATACTGTTAACTTTTGACCCTATGAACTCATGATAGTATAAAGTGCAAGACTACTAATATAGTATGAGAAACAAAACCTTTTCCTGATAAGAAATTCTTGTAGCATGTAGTTAATTATAATGATCCCCCATGTACCTTTATTTTTATATAAAATTGAAATTCCTAAAGTTTAATTCTTTAGATGTAAAAAATATTAGTACAGACAGTTGTCAATTATTCTAAAATTCAAGGCTTCTACTAAATCACTTGCTATAAAAATACTTTGTACATCGCTTTTATTTGCCCTTAAAGCTAGACCTGTGGACTTGCTTTTGAACATCCTCCTGCCCAAGTTATAAAATATGCATTAAAGAAAATTTTAAAAAATCAGGAACGATTGGAAAGCATTGCTTCTGAAGGCCCCTTAACAATATACCACTTTCCTCCCTCCTTCCCAATTGACAAAGGAAGGCTCTATACTTCTCTTTTGTATGTTAGCATTATTGAATTTCATTCATTTAGTAGTATTGAATACTGTATTTTGCTGTTCTTCAGGAAAACTGCAGTTTATATTTGTGGACTAGAGGGTCTATCTTTCAGAAATCAGAGAACATGGGATCCCTCTGACCCACCTAGGTGACACTACTCTTACTGTAAGGGTAGCCAGAAGGGTGCATTCACTCATCATTTTGGGGTGAAGAATAGGTAGAAACTGATGGAGCATAGACGGGTTAAGTATTGTCTATGACAGTAGGATAGGAGTGAAAGGAAGTTCAGTTTATAGGGAATCTAATTCCTAGATGTGGTGTATGTATAGGTGTGTGTGTGGTATGTGTTTTAAAGAAATTCTGGTGAACTAACAAGGTATAAAAATTATGTTTTGTTATATAAGATTAATATGAATCCTATTATTTATTGAGTTAACATGAAGCTTAATAATTATTATGGATATGTTTAAACATGCCATGTTTACTTTATTCAAAAGTGAACAGATAACCAACAACTGCTGTTTGCTAAACATTATCAGGGACAGGGGTACAAACAAGGTTTCTGATCTCTGGGAATAGTGCAAGCTATATATGTTTCCATATAAACCTTCATGGTTTGTTAATAAGGTAACATGGTTGTCATTTCATAATTTCAATACTGGGGGAATGTTGTAAAACGTACATTATTTTTTTTTTTAAATAAATGGAAGTGTCTTTTATGTGGTTTTACAGTCATGGTGGGAGATGAGATTTTGGACTAGGGAAGTGATGGTTGGGATAGAGATGAGAGAGAAGTCTAGAATAATTCCCTAGTTCTTGGTTTGGTTGTACAGCAGGTTGGAAGGGCAGCAGACCAGGCCGCACAGCAGGAGGTGAGCAGCGGGCAAGTGAGCAAAGCTTCATCTGTATTTGCAGCTGCCCTCTAGTGCTAACATCACTGCCTCGGGTCCACTTCAGATCATCAGGCATTAGATTCTCATAGGAGCACCAGTCTCTAGTACCCAAAAGGTTGGGGACCACTGTTGTAGAGTACAATGGTCATATAATTAATTGAGATAGAGACAAACAGAGAAAGAATAGGGCTTCAGGGAGTGAGTGAATGAGTGTGTGTGTGTGTGTGTGTGTGTGTGTGTGTGTGTGTGTGTAAAAGTGTGGGATAGAAAACTGAGAAAGGGGAAGATGAGAAGCTCAATGAGGACATATTTGAATATGGAAGATTAAGTGCCAATGATATATATCCATGTAGAGAGTTCAGTAGGGAGTTCAACATATGCATCTGAGACTTAGGAGAAAAGCCTTGGCTTGAAGTAGATATGACTAAATAGGTGGTAGTTGAAATTAAAGGGATAATGGATGCTATTACTCATAGAGACTGAATACAGTGAGAGGAAATGAAAATCGACATTAGTGAATGGGCAGGGAAGAGTGCTCAGTGTCAGAGAAGCCAATAGGGGAGAGGTTTCAGGAGGAAAGAAATTAGAAGTATCAGAAAATAAAGACAGGTCAAGTAAATTGAAAAAGATATGGGATTTGGCAATTTTGTCATAATTAATATTTGCCAGAACACTTTCAATGGATCGATAATAGCAGAATGCTGTTTGTGTTAGGTTGAATAGTATATTAAAACAGAAAGGTTACAATAGATTTATATTATTTCGAGGCTCCTCATTTCTTTTTAAAAACAGAAATAAAGATGATAATTTTTGGAAGGGGTTACAGAATTGAATAGGAGATTCTATAGTAATGAGTGTTTAATATAAGGGGCAAGCAGCAGAGAGGAGAGATTAAAAAGAGGGGAGATAAAGGTAAAGCAAGATTCTCTAGGAATATGGGATCAAGGGTGCACAGAAAGGAATTGACTTGGAAAAAGAGAAAGGAGATTCTTTCTCTGCAATTAGGAGGAAGGAGGTGAAGATAATTGTATAACTTGCAAATGTGGAGCAAGAGGTGAGGGAGGTACATAGCTGATAGTTTTGATTCTTTTCTGATAAAAGAGGTATAAGAGAGAAGGGCATAGGTGAAGTAGCAAGTTTGAATTGAATTAGGATGGTATAAAATATATGCTCTAAGGAATGGGACAGGGACTTAACTAGGGGGCAAGGTTATTAGCAGGAGAGACTGAAACATCTGGGAATCTAGCGTGGATAAGAAAAGCTATGAAGCTATGTGGGAGATTGTGGTTTGAAAGGAAAGGGAATACTTGAGGAATGGAAGTTTAAATAAAGGTAAGAAAGCAGGTGTTTAGGAAGTAATGGAGTGAAGAAAAACTAGAATGATAAGTCATGGAGTCTAAGGCTGTCGAACAATTTTCTGGTGATCAGAAGGTTGAGGGTCTGGCCCTGGGCATGGATTGCTGAATGAAGTGACTGTAAGCTGGCAGAGTCTAGAATTCATGGTTGTTGGATGGGTTGTCATATTGACACTGAAGTGGCACCCAATGGCTGAAAATGTAGGGAGACACATACTGAAAGCCAAATGCCAAAGTCTTCAATGAATAAAGGAGGGAATGATGGGCAATTATGTAATGAGAATGAAAGAAAGGAGTAAAAATTTTCCAAGATTGTTGATTAAGCCCTTTTTCCCCCTCTCACAAATTAAGAGTCACAAGGGTAAGGACTATGTCTTAGTTAATGCTGCAAATATTTGTTGAATTTAAGAATAAACAAATGATTACCTCATCATTTTTAATAGGTATTTATTCATATTAAGTATTTCTGAAAACTTTGGGTTTTTATTATTATAAGCAAATACAAATGAGCAATATGTATTATTCCTAACAATAAATATTCAGCTATAATATACTTTAGTGACTGAATATGTATTCTATTATAGAATATAAGGGTATACTGTATTTTAAGCAGTTTTTTTATTTTGGGGTATTTATGTTGATTGCAACCAATTTTTTTCTACTGGTGAAGGAATAATCTAATAGTTAAATTTTTGCCTTATTTGGTTAGGATGCAGTCTTAGAAGTGGATTTTTTGATAAGGCCTTCATGGCAAGTTCATTATCTTTTAGGCCTATTTCTAATGGGTTTGTTTATTTGCTTTCGCATTCTGTCCTGGATTGGAATCAGAAATTGGACAGTGCTGTAAGTACTGATTGATGCAGGCATGCTAATGGCAACAAGAGTGAGAAATGGTAAGTAAAAGTTCTTCACAAGAATAATGATGGGTGTTTTAAGAACTTAGAGTCAAGTACATTTTTCATAAGCACAATAAGAGGGAATTTATGAGTTAAATAACAGGATATAGTGGTCAATTCAGAAATGCATATTCTAATTAAATAAAAACTTTTATGAGTAATCTGTATTTGTTAACAGCATCCAATGTTAGGAGACATTTTAATAAATCATGTGTAATCATCAAGGTCACTCCTCAAACTCTTTCACAAAAGTGTAGTTAATAGCAGAGAAGAATGAATAATTGCTTAGAAGCTTGGTCTCAAAGCTAGAATTTTCTACTTTCATATTTTGTCTTAAATTTAATATAAATGTTACATTATATACCATAATAGTCATATGTTTAATATAAATATAATGCTTAAAAATTAAAAAATATCTCATGAAATTGATATCTGAGAAGATGCCCCATGTTTATTCAGTCACTTTTAACATGCTGGCAAACTACAATGTCCCCCTACCCCAAGCTGGACTTTCAGAGGTTCTAGGTTATTTCATGGTTGTATAATATTCTTCTTTTCCATTTTCACTTCTACTCTTTAGCCAAGGCTATTTATAGTAGTGCATGGCAGAGAATAGATTAATTGATGCTTACCCACTTTTAACTTGACAGTGTCACAGAGACTGAAAATTCAGAGTGAAAATTCAATATCATCACACACTGCATTAGAAGAAATGTTGAAGAAAGTTTTTCAGACGAAAGGCGAATGATACCAGATGGAAATATATATTTACACAAAGAAATGATAAGGTAACTATATGGGTAAATGTGAAAGATTTTTTTATCCATTTAATCCTCTTTTAAAGATAATCAATTGTTTAAAAATAATAACACTGTATTGTGTGTGATTATAACATGCATAAGTAAAATACATGACAACAATAGCATAAAGATTGATTAATTCGAAGATGTAGACTATAAATCCTAAAGCAACCAGTAGAATAACAAAACAGTTATAGTTAATAAGCCAACAAAGGAGAAAAAAATGGAATCACAAAAAAGTACTCAATCTAAAAGGAAAGCAGCAAAAAGAAAAAAGGGACAGATGGAACACTTAGAACAGATGGAACAAATAGAAAATAGCAAAATGACAAACTTAAATCTAATCATATCTATAATAACTTTAATTGTAAATGATCTAAAAAATCCTAATTAAAAGGCAGGGATTGTCATATTGGATGGAAAGCAAGGTCCAACACACTTTTATATGCAAAGACAAAAACGTTAAGAATAAGAGGATGGAAAAAATATACCATGCTGATGCTAAGACTAGTCAAAAGAATACTGGTGTGGCTATATTGACATGAAATAAATTAGATTTGAGAGCAGAGACTATTATCAGGGATAAAGTAGTCCATTTCATATTAATAAAGGGGCCAATTAATGAGGATATAATCTGAAATGTTATGATCCAAATAACAGAGCTTCAAGGTATATGATGCAAAAACTGATAGAACTGTGAGAAGGAAACAGATTTTAAGATCTCTCCTTCAGTAATTGCTAGAACAAGTTGAAACTTAGCAAGAATATAGTAAACTCAAATAGTACTATCCACCAATATTATCTAACTGACTTTTGTAGAACACTCCACTAACAAAAGTAGAATACACATTCTCTTTAAATTCTACATGAAACATTTACCCAAAGAAACCATATTCTAGGCTAGGGGTCAGCAAACGATGGCTCTGGGGCCAAATATAGATTGGTTTTGTATAGCCTATAAACTAAGAATGGTTTTCATGGTTCGAAAGAATCCTCCCCCACCCCACCCCCCGCCCAAAAAGAGAAAATATGTGATGGAGACTGTATGTGACCCACAAAGCTTAAAACAGTTTACTATCTGATGCTTTACTTACAGAAAAAAATTTGCTGACTTCTGTTTTAGGCCATAAAACATGTCTCAACACATTTTAAAGGATTCAAGTCATGCAAAGGAAATAAATATTTGGAAACAAAACGACATGCTTCTGTATAACCCATTGATAAAGAAAGACTCAAAAGTGAAATTAGAAAGTATTTTGAACTGAAGGAAAATAAAAATATAACATATCAAGTTTTGTATAAATGAAATGCTTGTATTAGAAAATACACAGTCTCAAATCAATGACTTCAACTTCACTTTAAGAAACTAGGAAATAACTAATTAAACTCAGAAGCAAAAGAAATAATAAAGATCGAAGTGATGATTAGTGAAATGGAAAACAAAAATCACTTGAGAATGTCTATGTAATCAAAACCTGGTTCTTTGAGATTAGTAAGATTGATCAACTTTTAGCCAAACTGGTCAGGAAAAAAAAGTGAAAAGGCACATATCAGGAAGACCAATATCAGGAATGAGAGAGGTGACATAAATACAAATTCTACAGATATTTGAAGGACAATAAGGGAATATTATGAACAAGTTTAGGCCAAAAAAATTCAACAACTTAGATGAAATAGCCCAATTCCTTGAAAGATATAAACTACCAAAGCTCACTCAAAAAGAAATAGATAACCTGAATAATCATATATGTTTTTTAAAAATGGAAATAGTGATTCAGAACATTTGCACTTCTGATTCATAGGGCTTCACTGGTAAATCCTTCCAAACAATTAGGGGAAAAATAATATTATACATAAACTCTTCCAGAAAAGCGAAGAAGTAGGAATATTTTCCAACTTGTTCTTTGAAGCCAGCATTACCCTGATACCCAAACCACACAAAGACATTAAAAAACAAAACAAAACAAAACTCAGACCAGTTTCCCTCACGGACAGGAATGTAAAAATTCTAAAAAAATTTCATCAAATCAAATCCAACAATATATAGGAAGGACAAACAATATTATTGGGTGAGGGTTTTCCAAGAATACTTGGTTTAACATTTAAAAATTAATCATTGTAACTCATATTAAAAAAGAAAAACTGATCATCTCAATAGATGAAGAAAAAAACATGACAAAATCCAATATTCATTCCTGATTTTAAAAACTATCAGCAAACTAAGAATGGAAGGGTATTTCTTCATCCAGATAATGGACATCTACAAAAACCTGCAGATATCCTCATACGTACAGTGAAAGACTATATGCTTTCCCCTTAAGATAAGGAGCACAAAGATGTCTGCTTTTACCACTTTTATTTAACATTGTAGGTTCTGACCAGTATAATCAAGCAAAAAGAGAAATAAAACACATTCAGATTGGAAAGGAAGAGATGAAACTGACATAACTATCTATCCATTCCACTTGGTGGTATCTACAAAAAGCTACTAAAACTGACAAGTAAATTTAGCAAGATTGCAGGATACATGGTAAATACAGCAATCATTTATATTTCTACATTCTAGCAACAAACTGAATATGAAAATGCAAAAAAAAAGTGATATTTACAATAGCATAAAAATATGAAATACTTAGGAATCAAAAGATATGAAAGATCTGTACACTGAAAACTGCAAATATTGCTGACAGGAATTAAAGACAACTTAAATAATTGGAGAGATTTATCTGACTCATGGATTCATATTATTAAGATGTCAGCTCTCCCTAAATTGGTCTACAGGTTCAACACAGTCCAAATTAAAATCTCAATAGGCTTTAAAAAAATTGACAAGCAGTTTCTAAAATTCGTATAGAAGTGCAAAAATCTAGACTAGCTAAAATAACTAACTAGACAAAAGATCAAAGTTGGAGGGCTGACACAACCTGATTTCAAGCCTTATTATAAATCTGCAGTAATCAAGAGTGGTATTAATATAAAAATAGACAAACAGATCAATGCAACAGCAAGCAGAGTCCAGAAATAGACCCACATATATAAGGATAACAGATTTTTGACAAAGTGCAAAGATAATTCAGTGCAGTAGATTTTTTCAATACATGGTGCTGGAAGAGCTGGATATCCATATAAAAAATATAGACTTTGATTCATGTCTCATACCGTGTGCAAAAATTAACTCAAAATTGATTATAGACCTAAATGTAAAACCTAAAATTACAACTTCTAAGAAACCTAAAATTACAACTTCTAAAAGAAAATATAAGAGAATTTTTGTGACTGAGTTAGAGAATGATTTCTTAGATGTGACACCAAAAGCGCAATTTATAAATGAACAAATTGATAGACTGGACTTACTCAAATTTTACAAACTTCTGTTCTTCAAAAGCATTGCTAAAAAAAGGACAAACCACAGACTGGGAGAAATATTTTCGAAGAGTATAATAAATGATTTATATTTAGAAAGTAACAAAAACTCTCAAAACTCAATAATAAGAAAACAAAAATCTCAAATAAAAAGTGGACAAAAGACTTGAGTAGTTACTTCGCTAAGAAGATACCTGGACAGCAAATAAGCATATGAAAAGGTGCTCAACTTTATTAATCTCATTAGTCTTTAGGGAAACAAACAAAAAAAAACCCATGATGGAACAGCTAGGTATCTGTATATAAAAAAAATGTATACATATCTCTTAGACCAGCTAAAACCAAAAGTGGTGTTGAGGATGTGGATGAATTGGAGCTCTAATACACTCCTTGTAGGAATGTAAAATGATACAATCAGTTTGGAAAATAATTTGGGGATTTCTTAAAAAGTTAAACATACACCAACATATGATCTAGCCTTTCTATGCTAGTTATTTTCCCAAGAAAAGAAAGCATGTATTCCTATAAAGATCTGTACATGTTCATAGCAGCTTTATTTTTAACAGTCTCAAATTAGAAACAAATGATTATCAACAAATGAATGGATAAATTGTGATATATTCATACAGTGGAATACTACTCAGCAATAAAAGGGAATGAACTATTATATATGCAACAACATAGATGAATCTCAGTAGTCTGAGTGAAGATAGACAAAAAGTTGAGAACATACCATATGACTCTACATATATAAAATTCTAGAAAATACAAACTAATCTGTAAGGATAAAATACAGACCAGTGGCTGCCTGAGGAAGAGAGCTATGAGGAAGGAGGGATTATAAAGAGGCAGGGGAAACCCTTAGGGATGATATGCTCACTGTCTTATTCTGGTGATGGTCTCACTCAAATTCATTTTACTCTAAAATATCCATTCTACACTCAATCACCTCTATTTACATTTGTAGTTAGAGGGACTGATGGATGCTATAATATTACTGATAATTAATAGCTCAGTCTGTGTTATCCACTTTCCTCACACACCTTTACCACTCAATATGTTGTCTGGTATGTTTGTTGAGTATAGATTAGAGTATACATAGCACCAGCAGGCAACTATGAGCTCAAAATTATGTGTTGCTTTGTTTTGATGCAATTCCATTTGCAATATTCATAGTATTGCTATATTTTTGAAACTGAGAAATTGAAGAAGGATCTTTTTGGGCTAATAATAAAGCCAATAACTTATTTCTATACTTCTATAAGTAGAATTAAACAGGTATGTTCTTACATCTCTAAAATTGAACTGGAGGAAACTTTTCATTTTTTTTAGAAATTTTCCTCTCGTGTGTGTGTATTAATTATGGTTACTAGTCTAGAAGATATGAAATGTGATCAAAGTTACTCCAAATGGATTTTCTTGGTTAAAGTCAAGAGAGGAAGAAAACACAGAAACATTTCTCAGTTTCTGAAAAATTATTCCATTATTGGATACAGCTCAATCGACAAAAAACATATAATAAAATTGCTTCTAGGTGACTTTTGGGGGGAAAATAGGGTAATAGTTAAGAAAAGTATCATTGGAATCAGATCTGGACTCAAATCCTGGCTCTGCCTACTTACCAGCTATGTTACCTTGAAGACATAACTTAAATTGGGTCTCAGTTCTGCCCATCTGTGAAATGGGTTAGTAATACCTCATAGAATTGTTGTGAATACTAAATAAGATAACGAATATTTGAGCACTTAATACAATGTCCAACATACCGAATAAATGTTTCATTGCTAGCTACTATGAAGATACTTTATAGAAATACAGGAATCCAAAGCCATTTTAGATATCACAGATTCCAAGAAATTAGTTCAGAGATTATCAAACTCGATCTTTTCCTATTTAAAGAAACATGTAGGATAGCACATTCTAAAATCAAATCCTCTTTAAAGGTGGTTTTCTATTTACATAGTTCCATAGCCAAGATTTGCATTGAGGATAGAAATGCATATTGACCCTAACAGTTTTACATTAAAGCAAACTCCATATTTAAGAGCTAAATAGTTCAGATGGCCTATGTTAATATGTCTTTTTGTATTCTATGCTTTTTGAAGCCATAGCCTTTATACAAAAGTACATTGATCAAAGAAAAGTTGCAGGTATTTATTTTGTGTGTTTTATCTTAAGGCGCATAATTTGTGTAAGCTGGCTAGGAGCATATTCAATTAAAAATTCAGAACATTGAGTGAAATAATCCAGAAAAACTAAGTCTTTCAATATTATTCATTCATTTTGTTATTCTCACCTACTAAGGGGTCAGCCAAAATGAAGAGAATGTTTAATCAAGACCTGAAAGAGTTCCAAAGCTAGATCACCTCCTTTGAAATTGCTCTGAAATTCATTTTACAATCGAAGTTCCATACACAGCCATTTGATCTTCACTGCATTCCCTCATTAGTTCATAGTGTTTCAACCAGTTTCTACATGATGACTTTCATATGTGCATCAACAAGCCCAACAGCTTATCAAGAAAGCTTGAGTCCTCTATGTTCTAGTGACATCCCACTTAGATCTGACATTAAGTTCATTTTTTTTCCTTTAAGCTACTTCTTCCAATTTCTTGGCTATTGTTGATGACAATTTTTTTAGACCTACAAGCTTACACTCTTAGGTTCATTTCTTCACATTTTTCCCTTCTCATAGGTAAACCACTGTTAAACTTGTCACTTCTTATAATTATTTCTTTATAATTTACTTCACATGCCCTTTTCATTCTTAAAATGTTCATTTAATCCAAGCTCTTTAATGTCAAATTTGTATTACAGCCTTTTGTTTTGTTTTGTATTATATTGCATTGTATCACAGGCTCTTGGTATTCTCCCTGGCGCCTACCCAGCCTTATCTCCTCTCCTACCAGATTATACAGAGCATAAAATACTGTTTTTTTCATCAAACACTTTGTAGAGAAGTGTTGCTGGGTGAATAAGGAAAACCTGGTTAACTGAAAAAAGGGAATTTAAATGGGTCTCCTTTCCTTTCAGTGATTCTAAGAAGAGCAGAACCTTCAGAAATTAATTCACAACTTAAGACAAATACTGAATAGAGGATTATTGCTAAGAAGAGACCAATAGTATATGATAATAACCATTGGAAAGATAAAAGGAGACATAAAATTCAACTCCTGGTAGCCATTCTTTCCCTTTTCGCTCTCTACATACCTCAGCTGGGAATCTATAAATGTGCAGTACTTGTTTGTTATACTGGTCATTATTAAGTTATCTAGGAGGCTAGGAGAGCAATCTGTTCTGACTGTAGTGACGAAAGGAATTCAAGTCACACCAAATATCTTTATCCTGTTTAGAAACATCCTAGCATTTAAGGCCTCTTAGTTTAAGCCCATTACAAGTTATTTTCCTTTCTATTTCATTTTTCTCTACTCTCTTATGTTCTGTGTTCTATCAGATATCATGTCTGAGAGATGAACTGGCTATTCCTGCTCTGCAATAGTTTTATATATTGCTTTATCTCTTAGGGCCTTGAATAGTGCCTAGCACATAGTAAGCACTAAATAAATGTTTGATGAATGGTTATCTTTTCTCTATGGCAATCCAAATCCATCGCTATTTAAAAAAAATTTTACATGAGATTTGCCTATTCCAGTAAACTTCTATCCATTATCAATCTAGTTTTAAATCACTTCACCCCCCTTAGCAATTATTTATAGTTTGCATTTCATTACATTTATTATGTTACTTTTTACATACTTCCACAGCTTTCCTATATATGTTGAATTTTCAACTAAAAGATAATACCTCAAATATTATATACAGTACATGTCTCATGTGCTGCCGAAAGGCACTCAATAGATAGATCAGCTACCTCCTTTTAGATGTATTCTCTGGATCAGTGTGGCCCACACTTTTCAGTTTAGATAAACAAGTTCTAACATTTGCTATTTCACTCATATATTGAAACTTTGAGTAAAATTGTTCCTTCAGTGTTTAGTTTTAAGACCAATCAAGAAGTCTTAATAAAGACTTCCTAAAGAAAAACATTTTAAAGTTACAGAAGCATCTATATGTTGGTAACGTTCCTCCAGAAATAATTAATGTAATATGCAAGCTCTGGACTGGTCAATTTGGACCTTTTCTTGGAATCTCCATAGAAATGCCCATGTATCAGAGAACGAAATAGTGTTACATAGAAAATATTATTAACTATTAAAACCTTAATTTCTTCATGGAGAAAGACCAGAGATAATATCCTGGGTTTCTGAAGTACTTAAGCTATTCCTTAGTTGTCTCATGAAGGAATTAATATAGTGGAACATATTTAAGGAATGGCTGAGGTGTCAGAATTAGACTATAAAAAGCATTCGATTTTCAAATAACTAAAGCCATTCACTCTCTGGCCTAAATGTAAAACCTAAAATTACAACTTCTAAAAGAAAACATAAAATTTTTGTGACTGAGTTAGAGAGTGATTTCTTAGATGTGACAACAAAAGCACACTGTCATCTGGCAACAATAAAGTTGGGCGACCTAAACATTAAAGCAGTTTCTAATAATGCCAAATAAATAGCACGTCTTTTCTAGGTCATCTCTGTTGCCTCCTCCATGAAAGTGTACAACATTTAGGTTATTCTTCACATTTCCCCCATACCTCAAAGTGTGTAGTTGCCAAAGAAAAGGGTAATATTACTACTTGCCTTCGTGTAGTCATTCTAAATACACACAAAATCAGACATTAACATGAAAATGTGAAGGGAAGAAAACAAACTATAGAATTAAGTTTTAGTTTTACTGACATTTACATATCACTCTTCCTGTTTATGATTTCAGAAGTGCAACCATGCAGTGTTTCTGTTAAAAACAGTGTAACTGAGATCAGTTTGAGGATTAAAATGACAACTTACCTAAGAGGGGAAAAAAGCCACTAAACTTACTGTTGCCTTCCTTTGTGGAATTACTTTGTTGTGTAAAAAGTTGAATATTTTTTCAAACATCATTTACTAATAGTGCAGTTAAAAGGGAGCTTGATGGCTTTGTGCCCCTAAAACAAGCAACCAGACATGAGTCTTATTTCTGAATCTGACTAGTTAATGTAATAAGAAAACCAAGCCAAAACCCCTCGTGTGTGTGTGTGTGTTTATATGTAAAGGTATATATTTATATGTATATGTAAAGGAGATGCTTGCAAAAATTGCTTTTTTCCTCATTTTGAGGTTTCAGTTGACTATTGCAATGTATTCATTAACAATTCTCCTGAATGAGGGAAAGGGTAGAAGTGAATACAATTCTTAAATAAAAGCCCTTTTCTTTCACTATTATCTTGTTCTATTTGAAGCATAATTATGTGAATTTATTTTGGGGTATTTCGGAATTTGTGGGGGTGGGGGGAAGGAGGAGAGAGAGAGAGAGAGAGAAGCACCTAGATGAGCAATGACTGCTACCTAGTCATCAAACCATGTTCTCATTTTATTGGCCGTACATATAAACTTATTCCCAGCCTCCTTTGAAGTTAGGTATGGGCATGTGACTAAGTTGCAGGCAACAGAATGGGAATTATAAGCACTACTTTGAGTCCCCTCATCTAAAAATCTCCCCTGCCTACAGACTGAAATAGAGAAGATCCCCAGAGAGACCTTGGAATTTGGTACTGAAAGCCTAGGTACTGAAAGACCTTAGAAACTAAGTATTGAACTACTTTTTTATTTTAACAAGAAACAAATTTGAGTCATTCTACATTTTGGGGTTGATCTGTTATGGCAGTTAGCCTACACTAATTAATTCAATATACAACACATATGCAATGTCCCTTTGATGCACAACTACAGGTCATAATGTATGTAAATGGCATTTCCTGAAGCACAGTTAAGTGGCTACAGGTATGTATATGTATGGGATAGACATAAAGGTCATTCAGTAGGAGCTGTGCAATGCTCTGCCAAACTAACTCCAACTTGGGTTTTATTGCATACAAGCATCAATATATATTAAAAGCACTTCTTTTTTTTGTATCTGTGGTAATAGATTAAGGTGGAATAGATCATCCAACAAGAATCTTAAAGGCAAAATGTATACTTAGGATCAAATCAGACATCTTTCTTGGATTGGTTCAATTGTGTTAGCTATATACTCTTCTTATAAACTATGGCCTTCTGGCATGCATTAGGCCAAAAGAGAGTGTTAGGAGAACCCTCACTCTCCGCGCCCCGCCCCCCGTCCCCCCAACTTACTGCTATGAGTAATAAAAACTTTTCTGGGCTTCACTTTTCCTCATCTGTGAATGAGATTTGTGTTATATGACTTCAAAGTTCCCTTCACTAGAATTCTACGTATGACTCCAATGTCTGTAACTACTGGTAGAAATAACTGTTAATGTGAATGTTCCTTTGGATTCCAAATTGATACTATGGCAATGTTCCATAGTAACTTGAAGTTTTTTGCAAAGATTTTAACTTACAATTCACAATCAAAAAGGCATAACAGAGGTTCTACTCTTCTCCCAAACAAAAACTATCAAGTTGAAAAGATTTTTAACTCATTTGGGATATTTTTTTAGAGTAATTTTAAAGCAGTGTGTCACTTCTTTGATTTCTTTACTCAGTGAGTAGAGACATACCAAAGCTAATGCAGAATGTGCTATCTATTAAAATAATATACCATGTTATAAAAAAAAAAAGTAAAAAACTAGTGGATTATTTAGTTGTTGACTGAATTTAACAATTAAAATCTTAAATTTTACTTCTCTTAATTGTATACTTATGCTGTAATGTTTCAATGTAATAATGGTTAATAGTATACCAAGTTCAAGGTCATGGAAAAAATCACCAAAGTCATAATTATCCTGTCACAGTTAACTAAGTAATATATGTATATGGCTTAGTTCTAAATCACATTTTGGGTATAGTTGACAGAAATGAATCTTTATCTGTCTGCTGGTGGGATTCTGATCTCATGGATTTCAATTTTGGTTAAAACTAAAATGTATATCATCCAGATTTGTTGCAGGCCTGGAATTGGCTTTAATGTACATTCTTTTGCTGCAAGAGAGCTGCAGAAATATGGACCTCATTCAGGGATGATACGGTTTTAGAAAGGAGGAAGGACAGGCTATATAATATTGTCCAGAGTGGAGTTTTTATGTTAAGAGAAAGCCATGTGTAGGTTGGAGTAGACAGCAGAAGAAATCACAGTAACTTTTTTTTTTTTCCACGAAAGGAACAAGACACAAGAGAAAACCTGCAATAGTATTTTAGGTAATAGTAGAGAAGTATGGATTCTAAAATACCTTTACACAATTGCAGAAATTGGGAAACAATCTTTAAAATGAGGTACAGATAAATAAATTTTGGCATATCCATATGTTGGAATGATATGCAGATGCTAAAAACATGTTTTCAAAATATTCAATAATATGAGAAAATGGTCATTATAGACTATAATTATTTCTATCAACCAGGAATCAATCTTACTCTTTCCAACCTCTGTATTCTTCATACCGTTTCCTCCCCACTCCCAGAATAAAGAGGAGCATAATGGAAGAAATATTTTTAAGAGAGATGCATAGACAGTAAATTTTAAAGGTTGAAGGGATTCAAAATCCATAATTTTGCAAAGGAAGCTGACACTCCAGAAAATTAAATGTCTCATCTAAGGTCTCAATCCTAGCATTGCCATTTGCTGAAACCTGGTTTCCTTATTCCCCAAATTTGGCATATTGTACATATTGTACCTTCTACTACAACATGCTACACTTGAGGTTGGGTCAGACCAGATTACAGTTCCCCCTTATCCATGGGGGATAAGTTTTAAGACTCCCAGTGGATGCCTGAAACCTTGGATTGTACTGAACCCTATATATACTATGTTTTTTCCTATACATACATACCTTTTTACTTCAAGGAAGCTCCTTATGGCTTCTCAAAGGCACATCTAAATTGCCAGTTATCACTACTCTTGAGCTTGGGGGCCATTAATAAGTAAAATAAGGGTTACTTGAATACAAGCACTGCTTACCAGGACAGTTGATCTGATAATGGAGATGGCTACTAAGTGACTAATGGGCCTATAGCATATATACATGTGGATACACTGGACAAAGGGATGATTCACATCCCAGGTGGGAGGAGCTGGATAGCGACAAGATTTCACCATGCTACTCAGAATAGCATGCAATTTAAAACTTATGAATTACTTATTTCTGGAATCTTCCATGTAATACTTTTTGGATCATGGTTGACCCCTGGTAACTGAAACCAGGGAGAAGGGAGTACTGAAGGTTGGGCCAAAGAGTATGAACTTTACCCTAGTTTATCCTTTTTTGTTTTTAAAAGAGGTAGGTATAGGGCACAAAGGAATGGTGAGTCATAAAGTATTCGTAGAGCTCATCTATATTTCCTAATAATTCTATATCTTTAACTTTTTTCTTACTCAGTACAACTTTAAAAATTCTGGGGGAGAGCCCAAATCATTTCTTTATCTCAATATTGAGTAATGGAAGTGACTAGATTACAACTTATAACTATTATATTTATTTATTTATTTGCTTTTGTCTCTTCCACTAGAACGTATCTTCCAGGTGGGGAAGCTTGTGTTTTTTTGTTGTTGTTGACTCCAGTGTCTAGCAAGTGTCTGACCCATAAAAGATGTTCAATAAGTATTTCAATAAATTCAATAGGTAAGTGAATAAACAATAGCTACTAAAATGCAGCAATCCTTTATTTATTATGACTAGATTTCTTCTGGAAGCTTTTATAGCAAAATTTTACCAAATGGAGTTTAAAATGTTGGCCTTATAGACCATTTCTAGGAATTTATCCTAATTTAGGAAATAATCTGAAATGTTAGAAAAGGTTTGTGCATAAAAAAGTTCATAGCAACAAGTAAAGAAAATAACTTAAATGACCACTTAAGGAAAAAGTATTCCATACAAGGGACATTATGCAGTCACTGAAAATATTTTGAAGAGTTTTAAATAACTTGAGGAAACATTTCTGATAAATTGTTATGAAAAAAGGCAGGGCACAAAAGCAAACAATATAAACTTTATAAGCTTCAAAAACTGCATGGAAATATGTGAACTGCAATAGTCATCTGCCTCTAAATAAAGGAATTATTGGTTATTTTTTCTCGTCATTTTAAAAATATTTTAACATTTTCAAAATTTTCTTTACTTACATATACTACTTTTATAATCAGAAAAAGAAATCCATTACTTGTTATAGATAGGTGTTTATGTCTCAATGCTATGTTTTCAGTATCATCACGAGTATATTGTTGACCAAAAGAAAAGTTTGATATTATATAAATCCAAATAATAGAGTTTTCAAAACAAACACTAAACCATATCCTATAACTTATAAAGTTATAATAATTTAGTATAATTTACTAATGATTTTGACATGGTGTTCATTGATGGTGGATGATGGAGATGGTTAGAGAGGGGATGCCTCAATTAATTTACCAAGTTCCTTGAATCTGTCAGTTAGTAACTGTTGCAATAAGAATGTAATGATGTCAAAAAGCTGTCCACAAAATTGCCATTAGTGTAGTGAATTTTTGCAAACTACTATTTTGTACTTCAAAAAGAACAGTCTCTTAAGTGCTAATTTTTTACAAACACACACACACAAAATTTGTTCTTACCTTGTTTATTTTGGCCAGCTGTGAGCTTCAGGTAATATTTTGTAATCTGGCATCACCAGTAAAAAAGGTTTCTTGTGGAAATAACTGTCAACAAGACTTACCTTGTAGGGTAGTTATAAGTTTTAGAAATCATGTATGTAAAATGCCTAACACAGTAAATGATCATTATTATAATAATATATAATGTTACTTTGACTTCTTGCCTTTATATTCCTATATATAGGGTAAACTGAAAAAATGTGAAGCGCTGTTTATGTAAAAACATCATTCTAGACTTTCAGATAAAGATGAGGAGTGGAGGCAGACCATGAAATCTTCCTCCCCAAACACTTTACAAAATGGGTAAAACAAAGAACAGTCAAAACTTCTTTAATAACATTACTGGAAATAGCCATAAAAAGAAAATGTCCACAAGCTAAGCCAACGAAGGCCAAAATAATGCTATTATTTCAAAATAAATAATTTGGGACAGCAAGAAATAGCATAGAATAGCTGGAAATTCAATTCTCACCAAAAGGAAACACTGACAACCCCAGCACTTTCCCCTAGTCAACTCATTTTTCCATTCTCCAAGATGATCATGCCTCATCTCTCCTAAATCTCCCATTATCTCCCTGCACCTCACTTCAAACTCGTTTCATCGATAAATAGAAGCTGTCACAAGAGAAACTCGTTTCCCACACTGTATCCACAAACCTGCATTCATCTCTATTAATATACCTTCCCTTCCTTTATAAAGGACCAGCTATCCCTGTTCTTATCTAAGGCAAGCCCCTCTACTTGTGCCTCAGATCCTATCTTGTCTTGTATAGTCAAGGACTGTGTTCCTGTGATTATTCCCTCCATTTCCTGCACTCTCAATTTCTCCCTCTCTACTGGATTATACCAATCAGTAAATATACTGTAATATTTCCCATCCTCAAAATACCATCACATTAGATATCCCCCTCTACTTACATGGTGATAGGAGCCCATTTTTCTGCTCCACTTTATAACAAAATTTTGCAAAGACTGTCTATACTTGCAGTTTCCACTTCCTCACTTTACATTATCTATTCAGGACATTCCAGTTAGAATTATTGTCTCCATAGCTCCACTTTAACTGCTCTTGAGATTACAATTACCTTCTTGCCATATCGTTTTACTCTCCCCAAATGTTTGGAACCCCCAGGCTTATTCCCTCACTCTTTTTTTAATTCACCATCAACGTTCATTTTTCTCTAGGTCATCTCATCCATTTTTTTTCTAGTTCTAAATCCTGTCTAGGTTCTCAGGGCTCCTAACATTGTAGTCTATCCTTGATATCTCTGTTGAGCGCCAAACTCATATCCAACCTTCTGCCCAGGAGCTCTACTTAGATCTCTAATAAGGACCTCAAAGTTAACACATTCAAAACAAATCTCTTAATTTTCTTCTTCGCTTCAATTTACTTCTATCCAAGTTTCCTCCATGTCACTAAGTTGCATTATTTTCATCTAGTTGCTCAAGGCAAAAACCTAGAAATCACCCTTAATTCCTCTTTGTGCCAGTTATTAAGCTGTTATCTCAAGCAGTAAACCTATACTCTGCTTTGTGATGTGGGACGGAGACTTGGCAACCTCATTTCTACTTTGCCGGCTGAATCCCTGCTACAGTGTGTCAATAGGAGTGTTAGAGAAAGACTGAGAGTCAAGAAGAGAGAACAAGAACTTGCTCTTCGTTGGTTTTCTGTACTTGTCAGCACCGCCCCAGTTATGGACCTTCATCCTGACAGCTACGGTTAGCTCTAAATTTCAATTATTTTACACTTTCCTATAACTAGCTCCAGCATACCCTCTCAGAGATACCAGCAGCAAATGGGCAGCATCCCCTTTTCTGAGGTCAGGGCTCCAGCTCTGCTGAATGTTTCCTCATAGCTTCTGGGTTCTGATAACTTCAAGTCTTCCCTGTGTTTATCCAGTACTAAGGGTAGTAGATCCTTCCCTAAGTTATTCTATTATCTCAGTACTCCCTTTTCCTCATTCATTTCGATAACATCTATCTGACTAATTCTTTATACACTAGCCCCTTCTTAGCCCCAGTTTTCTTTCAATGCTTTGAGTTACTACAGTCAGCTGTGGTCTGAAAATATTAAATGAAAAATTCCAGAACTAAACTATTCATATATTTTAAATTGCATGATGTCAGGTAGAATGATGAAATCTCACACCATCCTGCTCTGTCTTGCCCGCAGCACGAATCATCCCTTTGTTCAGCGTATCCGCTGTGTATACATACGCTCCCTGCCTGTACGCTAGCAGCCATCTTGGTGATTAGATCGACTGTCGGGGTATCAAAGTGCTCATGTTCAAGTAACCTTTATAATAGCCTAATGCTATGTCACAATGCCTACATAACATTCACTTCACTTCATCTCATCACATAGACATTGTATCATCTCATATCCTCACAAGAAAGGTGAGTACAATATTTTGAGAAACCACATTCACATAACTTTTATTACAGGATATTGTTATAACTGTTCTATTTTATTATTGTTAATCACTTACTGTGGCTAATTTATAAATTAAACTTTATCATAGGTATGTATGTTTAGGAAAAAACAGTATATATAGGGTTCAGTACCATCTGTGATTTCAGGCATCCACTGGGGTTCTTGGAACATATCCCCTGCAGACAAGGGGAACTACTATACTCAATTTATTGCTTTTGAAATACTTAGTAGCAGCCAGAGTGACTGACTCCTCTAAAGCATATACCATTTCCCTGCTTCTCATCACACGAGGAGCAAAATTCAAAACGCTTCCTAGGGCCTACAACCCCTTTTGTGACCTACCCTATCCAATTCTCTAGTCTCATCTCTCACCACCTTCCAGTTACTCATTAGGCTCTAATCATTCTGTCTTGGACATACCACCTTCCTCTGTTCTTGCTTTTCTCTACATCTGCATTGCCTAGGTCTCCTAGTACACTGCCTCGCTTCATTCAGGTCTCTTCTCAAATGTCATCACAGAGAGGCCTGCTCTCACTGCTCTATCTAAAATGTACAATTCCTTTCCCCACCCCGCCAATTCCTTACTTGGGTTTCTTATTACTACTCCTCGACATTATAAATTTGTTTGTTTTTTCCTCCCCTATCGTCAACTAAAAGCTTCATAGCTTTAAAAATGCAAGGATGTGATCTTATATACCACTGGTGCTGGAACTCAGTAAATTCAGTTGACAAATGAATTTGATAAAGAAATTGCAATGAATGCAGAATACCAAAGTAACTGCAAAGAAGATAATATGTAACTGAGACAAAGACAATTCCTGATTCATCTGCCTGAGTACATGATGTGACAAATGGATAAGAAAAAGCACTTAAAGATGTAATAGAAGAGAATTTCCACAAAATAATGAAAGAATTGAATTTGCAGTATAAAATGTCCAAAGAAAAATGAATGCATAATATTCAATATTGAGGCATATCATGGTTAAGCTGTTAATCATAAGAAGGAAAAACTTTTCAGATCTCTGGACAGAAAACTAAATAACTTAAAGAGGGAGGAAATCATGCTGGCTTTAGACTTCCTCTAAGCAATATTCAAAGGCAGAAAACAAAGGAAAAATATCTGCACAGTTTTAAGGCAAAGCCAGCATGACCCCCAAGTAGTATATCTAAGTGTCATTCAACAATGAAAAAGGCAAACAGCATCCATGAGTCCATGTAGATAAAAAAAAAAAAGAAAGAAAAAGAAACTACTTAGTGAAGGGCAGGTAACTAAGTGATTAATCAAAATTAATAACTAGGATTTGGATAGTCAAGTCATGTTATAGATTTTAAAATACAGATAAAGATCAAAAGACCAAAGGAATTAGAGTTACAAAACAAATAAACATTAATACCTTGACTTTGTAAAGAAAATGACATATCCAATAAAAATACATTTTTTTCATATCAGAATCTAGTCACATTTCTATATTTGAAACATACAGATAAAAAAGCCTTCAAACTCTTATAAGTTTTTAAACTTTGGCTATTTTAGGAAATAAGATTGTGGCTAAGAAACATTTTACTAAAAGTTCAGCAATTCCTCCAGCTGATCCTACTTCTACCAAATTCAAAAAGTTAATACTGTTTTTTATTTAAAAGTAGTATGCATGTTCTCATCTTAAATAAGATTATCTTATTTGTATAAATGCATAGAAATATGCCTACCATGAAGTTCATTTAATATTGATGGAGAAATCTGGGATCTGTGGAGATTTAAAACTTCCCTGTAACTTTTATATTGTTTGAATTATTGAAAAATGAACATGCATTGTTTTTATGAAACCAATAAAGATATTATCTTTAAAATACTATTATACACAACAGTGTGAATATACTTAACAATACTGAACTGTTCATTTTAAAATGATTAAGATAGTAAATTGTGTTGTTTTTACCATAATTAAAAATAAAAATAATTTAAAATGCTATTATAAAACTTATAAAATAGATCCAGTCATTACAGTAGCTTTATAGTTGGATTTTGACTCTACCAAATTTTCTCCAAATCAACTTTGCCACCGAAGTATACCCCTCAAATTATACCCCTCACATAATACTCTGTACTTGCCTATACCCTAAGTTTAGAAAGCAGAAATTACTTACTGGCAGATGTTGTTGTAAGTTTGCAAAATGAAAAGGTACTTATAAAAAGTAACTAATATGTTGTTACTTTATTCAATATCTTAATGTTGTAAGAATGTAAATATATGGCATTTGATTTACATATTTGGGAGGAAAGCTTTTAATTTTAATGTTTTTTTCCTGATTGTTAAAATAATATGTACTCATTTTAGAAAATATGAAAAAAGTAAAAATTACAATAATCCCCTAACACTTTGGTATGATTCCCCCCACTCTTTTTCTATGCATATAAATAAATGTATTTTTAAATAAATGAGAAATAATTCTATAAGCTAAAAATTTTAACTGTACATTAAATATTTCTCTGTAGCATTAAATTTTTAGTGGTTGCATAACATTCCATTAGATTAATGTACCATGCTTTATTTAAACACTCTTTTACTGTTGAATATTTAGTTTGATTTCCCTGTAGAGATGCTGTAGTGAATATAAATAAATCTTTAACTTCATATTTGATTATTTCCTTAGGATTGGTTCCTGGAAGTGGAACTACTGTGTCAAAGATTTGGACATTTTTTAGACCCCTGAAAGGTAATATGGTACTAGTAGAGATTGTAAATTTCATTACTCTTAGCAACACTAGTTATTAGCATGTATTTTCAATCTTTGTCAATCTGATGGGGAGACTCTGTAAGTCAACTTGGTAAAGTTGAATTTCTGCTAATATAATCATATTAATAACTTTATTGCCTCAAGGACTTATAATTCTTTGTCATCTCCATGTTGTTTAACATAGAGCCTTGCCCAGATATTGAAGAAATGTATTTTTTATTGGCTTTGGCAATATTTCTTTTAAAATAAATTATATTTTGAACACATGGAAAGGTGAAGAAAATGTAAAGAAGGACCCAAATTATTTTACTTAATAAAAGTAAGATTGTATTTAGTTCTTCCTGTAGTAGGCAGGGCATAATTGCTATCAACCAGCAATATCATATTTTATTTATTGAGCTTGGTTCTTTATTGAAATCCTATTGACTTTATTAGTTACTGTGCCATTTTCACTATAGTACTTTCTAAAATGATTCTAAATGCTTAGTTTATAAGGTTAAGAAAAAAATTCACTAGATAACTACTTTGAAATAATTTCCTCAACCCTGCCTTCATCAAGATACTTAGAAACAGACTGGCTCACTTCCAATTTTCCTTTATGTTATCATTACCATGAAGTCATTCTAGAGATAGGGTAATAAGCATTCTGGCATACAGAAAAAAATAGCGTCTGTAAAACTATATGGCACAGTTTGCATGGGGTTGTTCCTCCTTCAGAGCTGCATTATGTAATTTAAGTGTTTACTTAAGCTCCTTTGGGCTGCCTCCATGGTAGCTGTGAAGTCACAGAGAATCAGGAACAGTTTCAGCCTGATAATAAAGTCGTCCATTAGTTTAAGGTGAATACTGTGTCAGTGTATTTATCAATGCTAATGAGAATCTTTGCAAAGATATACTTGATTCATTTTATGTTTTTAAACAGCATTCTACTTCAAAAACCATTAATATATGTAAAAAAACAAAATGTTCGTAAATGTACATTTGCTCACTATCTAGATGTACTTATTGTAAAACCTGTATTCTATAGTATGAATTTACAGTGTGATTTTGACTCAGTCTAAATATAAATAATTATGTAAAATCAGCAAAATATATAGACAGTCTTTGAGAGAGAATGAAGCGTTAAAATGGCCTAAGCATTACTTCTATCTCTAAGTCATAAAGGAAGTCTAAAAGAACATCAAAGATATATAAATTATCTCAGCTCTAGGAGAATTTTAAAAGATACTAGGTTGTAAGAAAAGATTATTTAATCTTGATTACTCAAGGAAAGGTAGTATTTTCAGTTCCTTAGAGAACTCTTGAGCCCCTTTATCCACTAAATAACTATGTGTATTGATTTTAAAGAAAAATAATGTAATGTGCATTGTAAAAGTGGGAAAACAGTCATTTAAATTTTGTATTGTAATAAGTGTTATATCATCTTTAAGGAAATTTGCAAATTCTTATAAAATGCCTAAAATCTCAACCACCCTTTTCAAATTATTTTTTATGAATAAACAAGTCCAAGTCAAGATCCTGACATCTAAAAACATAATAGTCCATTTTAAGCAATGCCATTTCTAATTATGTAACATGAATTTATTATAAAATTACTTATTGGCATAAACTCCATAGCATTTTGCTTTTTAACACTGAGAAGTAAAGTCATATAAGTAATGGCCTTGCTAATGACCTAGTGAGGTCCAAAGTCAGGAACAATTCAAGGAGGGAACAGCAAAAACTTTTAGGACCTGAGCATTGCCCTGGAGGTATAGCTACTGTGGGGGTCCTACCTAGCTTAGGAGAGAGAGGTGTCTGTGTTCAGGAGGCCTGACCTGGAGGGGGAGGGAATGGTCATAAGGGAGAAGAAAGAAGATTATGAGACAAACTGCCTACTCAGATTGGCTCAGGATTAGCTTTGCTGTAACAATGAAATATTTGGGTTTTTATATATCATTCTAATATCAAATTTGTCTTAAGTTAATATGTGTGGTGATTTTAAACACATTGCAAATTCTTTAACACTCCTCCCATTAAAAGGTAGTCTAATACCCCTTTCTAGAATATGTATGGCATTAATGAGTTGCCTCTAATGAATAGAATCTGATGGAAATGATGCCGAATTACTTCCAAGATCAGGTCATGAGAGGTGATACAGCTTCATCTGGCTCTCAGTCTTGGGACCCTGGAACCTAGCAACCCTGTTGTAAGAAAGCCCAGACCACAAGGAGAGGCCAAGCGTAGGTGTTCTGGCTGACAGTCCCAGAGCCAAGGTCCCGGTCTTCTGTAAGTCCTATTGCTAAACATGCAAGTGAAGAAGCATTCAGATGATGTAAGCCTCTAGCCTATGAGCTGCTCCAGCTGACACTAAGTGGATTAGAAACAAGCTGTCCCTACAGAGCCCTACCCAAATTGCACATTCATGAGTAAAGCAATGTTGAAACCACTAAGTTCTGGGGTGGTTTCAGTCCTTCCTTCCACTAAATATCTAGCTCAGGTTAGCTGTAACAAGTAGGCAGGAGATGAAGGAAGCAAAAGAAAAACATTTCCCTCTACTTTTCCTTGTTTCTTTAGCCAGACTGAAATCTTAGCACCTGTCAGTACTAAGTGTTGGCAATTTGAAGTGCCATTAGAAACAAAAAAACACTATCATGGGGACCTAGTCTGTCAAGACTCCTTTTCTTTGAAGGCTTAGTGACTGAACAGGGAAAAGAAAGAGAAAGCTTGATTCCTTCCACTTCTTTTCTTCTCCCCTAGGTATCCCTAGTTTCAAAAGAAAGAGAAAGCAAAATCTTCTGACATCTCCCTTCTGAATTAGAATCTTTCGAAAGGTGCTTTTTCACTGAAAGGGTACACAACCTTTTCAATGTTATAAAGGGACCAAACCAACATGTTTTCATTCCTTATCAAGGAAGCAGGAGTTATTAAAGTTATAAACTAGGGACACCACTCTGTCTTTAGTCACTCATCACTGTCCTTCAAAGGTTCCTCTGGCTCCTTCCCTTTCCCTAAATGTGAGTGGGTACTCAGGGTTCCCTTCTTAGAACCCTTCTCACGCAACACTTTCTGGTCCACTTATCCACTCATGTGGCTTTAGCTACTACCTACTAAAAGGAATAGAATGACCTAGTGAGGTCCAAAGAGCCAGACCTTCTTTCCAACCCTCCTGGGATAGTTCCCCGATAGCTCAAATTCCACAAGGACAAAACAGAGTTCCTCATTCTGGACCTGAGGCCCAACTCTGCCCAGTCCGCACCCTAGACCAGAAACTTGGTCTTGCCCTTGCCCCACACAGCCAGTCAGTTTCCCATTCCCATTTATTTTCCTTGAACAGCTATTCTTTCTATCCCCGCTCCCCATAGGTATACAGCAGTGGTCCTAGTCAATTCTTATTTAGATCACAGGCTGTTTTACGTTCCATTCCCAGGCTCTAACCAGTGTAATCTTTTCAAAGACCTGCAATCTTTTCACACTTGACTGTGCCTTTCCACTAACAAAATCTTTTCATGGTTCTCTCTTTCCTATAGGTTTTAATCCTGAGGCCTAATAGTCATTTACTCACAAAGCTGAGTAGACCCTTTGAAACTGTATGCAAAATTGTAGTATGGGTCTAGCTATAGGTGCATTTTTTTTTTTTTCTGGAGAGAGACCACATTGCTTTCCATAGGTTTTCAAAAGGTTATGTGTACCTCGAAAGGCTAGAAACTTATAGATCTCAGGCTCAATTCTAAACTCCCATCATAGAATGCAAAGCCCTGCATGACCTGGCCATCCCCATTCTACCAGCTTCCTTCCTTCCTACTAGCTTTCTTTCTCATCCCTCTCTTCACTCTTCTTAGGTCTCACCCACACTTAATGTCACCTTAGTTCTGCAGTGCAAGCCTTTATACATGATGGTTTGCTTCTCAGCTTGGGAAGCCCTTTCCTTTCTTCTTAACTGGCTTAATTTTTGCCATCCAAGAAACCACCTTCTTTCTTTTAGGAAACACTTCAGGTCACGCTACCTATAGAAAAGTCGTACAGGCAAGGTGAGGTGTGAACTCTTGCTTCCCAGAAACCAGCTTAGCTATTGCTCTTTCTCTTAGTATCTACCTCTTGGATTTCCAAAGTGGGTGGGGATGAGAGAAAAGAAAATAAAACCATAAAGTAAAGCCTGTAAAACTAGCAATGATCGATAATTGTGCAGCACTTATACGGTGTAGAAGAACCTCAGGCTGTAATATACATTTTTGTAGTGCTTTGTTGGGAGGGAGAAATTGAGTGGTAAACATGTAATTTATAGTTGCCAGAAGATTTTTGATAATAAATCCCCCACACACCTTCCTGTTAACAGAATATTGTATAGGAATTTTCAACATCATCCAGTTTTCTTTTATTTTATACCTAGCCAACACATGGTGTTATATATTTAACAAATCCTGTAGTTAATAAACAAGGCAGTTCTGATATTCTGCAGTCTACTAGGAAGTCTGCTGGGTCATTCATCTGAACTACTGTTCCTGGTTCATGCAACACTACCTACCCTCCATCTACCCTGGAAGAGGTTCCGACTTTTTGAGATAAACCGTGTTGACTAGTCTGCTTGTGAAACCTGCCAATGTCTTACGGCAATTTCTAAGTCAAATTTTTTTTTCTTTCAAAAAAGTTCTTTTAATTGTTGCCTCTAACGCACCTCTTTGCCTTCCTTGGACCGACGGATCTGAGCGAAGTATATTTCCTTGCTAGTAACGCATCAACTTATAAATAGCGCTCACCACGCTGAGTCACTAAAACCCCGAGTTTCCCCGAATAGCTTATAACGACTGCTGGAATCGCGTCCCCTGGAGCGGTTTCAGACTCCTACCACATACCCGCGGCGCTAAACCGTAGGTCCGCTCCGCTGAGCGGATGCCCAACCACCCGGCGCCCCGGAAACGCGGGCAAGGCCGCGGATTCCCAGCCAAGAGTGTCGGACCTTCGGTGCGCGTACGGCGCTCTCGGGACGCGGCCAGACTTGGCCTTGACTGCTCGGGACCGGCCCCGCCCCCTCTGGAGCTAGGAGCCGCAGGGGGCCGGCACCAGCCTCCGCCCTGCGCCGCCTGCTCACACAATGGGGCGCGTCAGGAGCTGGTAGCCGCGGCTCCGGCTCTGGTCCCAGGCCCGGGATCCCGGGGAGCTTGGGGAGGCAACCAAGGGCTAGGGCTCTTAGGAAAACTCCTGTCTACCCTCCGTCCGCTCCCACACTTCGAAATGGCAGCGTCGCGGGTATTGGGGTGTTGGGCGCAGAGATGGGGGAGGGAGCGGAAGTGCCACCCCCTGCAGTCAGGGGACGGTGACGTCATTGCTACTGTCAGCCTGTAGCGGGGGCGTCTGCCCGTCACGTGACGCCTGCCCTCCCTCCCCACCGAATCCCGCGCGCGCGCTCCCTCCCCCACCCCTGACTCCCACCTCTCCCCCAACTTTCGCCCTCCCTGCTCCAGCACCGCTGTCAACAGCGCCAGCTCCGCCCCCTCCCCCGCGCCCGGTGTAACCGCCACCGCGGCGCGGCAGGCGCTCGCGCTCGGATTTCGGGCTCCTGGAGCAGCGTGCCCCCTGTCTCCATCTAGCCCCCCAATTCCCAGCGCGCTGGGTGCGTGGGCACCGAAGCCAGGTTGCGCGGCGGCGTGCGGCGAAAGCGCGTCTCTGCTCAGTCTCGTTACAGCAGCAGCAAGACGAGGCGGAGACGCCAAGTCCGAGTTCCGAGGGGCGAGGCACGCTCAGTGTCCTCCGGTCCCAGGCTTGTCTCCGCCAGGGGTCGGCCCCCAGGCGGGAGCGGCAGTTGGGGCCCGCCCTCGACCCCGGGCCAGCGGCCCGCGCCTCCGCGGTGCTCCCGCCTCCGCTCTCCCTGCCGCCTGGGCGGCGCACGCTAGTCCTGCCTGCTTTCCTCCGGCCGCGGTGCGGGCACTGGCCGTACTACAGGGAGTCAGGCACGGACCGCCTCCTGAACCCTCTCGGCCACCCCGCCGTGGACTCCTGGGTTTGCAGATTTGGTGGCTGTCACTGCTGCGCCTCGTTCTATTTTTTCCTTCAATTCCCTTCTAAAAGTAGAGGCTTGGGGGTGGGGGAAAAAAACCTCAGTGTAGAAAGGGGCGGTACGGACTGACCTGTCAACGGCGGAGGAAGACCCCTGGTCTGGGCGAGCTCTCGAGCCCGCGCAGGGACGGGAGCCCTGGGTTCGCGCGGAGCGGCGCGGCGGCAGCTGTGCCCTCAGCCAGGTGTCCC